AAAAGAATAAATATAGTGATATGAAACGTAGTACAAACTTTCCTTCTTTCTATAGAACGTGGCATTTTTATTTTTCACGAGTCCATAGGAGTTACTTTCTATTTTCATTCGCAATCGCTCACGTTAACTACGTTATTAGCAAAGGTCCCCGATCTGTTCTTACTGTCATCAATGTTCAATCGAAGGATGTTAAAATACTTGTTGGCAACTTCGTCCGACGATTTCATAACGAATAATAATTATTTTCATGAATGTAATAAAAACCCAAGTGCAAATTTTATCCATTTGTCAGAATAATATCTCATGATCATCGGAATTAAGATTTTCCATTGTTGGGAATCTGGCACACGGTTCATCAGAATTATGTGCGAAACAATGCGACAGTCTTTACTCTTAAATATTTTACCCCCATTCATTTAACCAACTGAATTTTATGTAGATTGCTTTACGAAATAGTTTAAGTGATCGTTCTCGAGAATATTAAACATTCTTGACACGTTAATAAAACGAGAGACAGATTATTGCATTTTTCAAATGCAAGAGTTCAAGTACAGAGGAAAGTCGAACATGGGAAAAACAGAAGAGACGATAACGACTGATAACTATTAGATATGCGTCTTGGGGATACATACAAGTCCCAAAAAGAGTGTTAGAGCCGAAAAGAGGTGATTCTGTGTTTCTGAACAACAATTTCCTTTGCCAAAATGCAAAGTGAGTCATGGTTTTTAAATTATTAATTAAAAACACTAATCAATGAGAGCACGCGTAAGGCCCGCGCCCAGCCACGGGTAGGTTGACTCGGATCGTGGCACTCAGCGCGGGCCCTACACGTGCTCTCATTGGTCAGTGTTCTTCTTTAATAATTTAAAAACCATACTTCACTTTACATTTTGGCAAAGGAAATTGTTCTTTAGAAACACAGAATCACCTCTCTTCGGCTCTTACACTTTTTCTGGGACACCCTGTATAAATAGAAGCAGGGTCAGCTTGGATGCAGGGCTTGAAGAAAGTGAAAGTATCAATTAAGCAAACGGGAATCATGCGTGAGTTTTACAAGATTCGTGGTGGGATCTGGTCACGACGTTTGACTTCGCGGAGATCGAGTGGTGCAGTACCGTTCGAGTCACTCGAGGCGATCATTTCAAATTCGCGTTTCGAACTTTTGTCCGTTTAACCGCGGCGAAAGAATCATGGCATTCGCTACGAGAAACTTAGGGTTCGGAGTATTGGTCGTGGCTTCTTTAACGCTTCTGGCGGACTGTTTCCCTGATGGGGCGCCGGTGGACGTTTGCGTGAAGCCGAATAAAACTAACGAACCTAATCATGGCTCAGCGGTTTCGCAACCAACGAATACGAGCCCTTACACATTTGCTGCGTCGTCCTCCGAATACGGCCCGAATTCCCAGATATCTGGTACGTTTTATTTTATTTTTATATATTTTAACCCATTCGCTGCCAAGGACGAGTATACTCGTCTTTGGCAGGGTGTCACGCATTGCCAGGACGAGTATACTCGTCCTGCTTTAAATATATTATATCATGCAGGCTCTTTTGAAGGCCCATTGCCAACGACGAGTATACTCGTCTTTGGTTTTCTGCTTCTAAATGATTATGTATGATAATATATGTGCTCTTACCAAGAAATAACTTGGCAGCGAATGGGTTAAGAAATAGTGAAATCATCTGAACTACCCCTGCCTGATCTTAACTGTCCTCCGAGAGATTGTTATTAAAATAATATTATAAAAATCGTAAAGACTCTTTAATAAAAAAAACAATTGTTGCCGGACGGAAAACGCGAGATTATGTGAAGATTGAAGGTATAGCGCAAGAATGATCGAGCGGAAGGAGAACAGAAACGGAACAATCGATCCAATCAACGCGGGTACCGTGCAGCAACGCGGAACGCGTCTAAACGGTTAACAATCGCGTATTCTACGGTTCGTAGATTCGCGGTTCTGCATGTTCAATCATCGGAATAATAGCGGCCGCGCGTCCCACCGCACACGCGCCCTAAATCGCCCGCGGAAAGAAATTCGCTTCTGCGTAGATTTAGCAAAATTAACGTGCTGAAAATTCCTGCTAATCGTCGGGCGTCTGCTGTCGCGAAATGTCATATCAAACTCCCAATTCACGTCCCCTAATGAAAAACTCATTGAAATATAAAACTATGATTGACATAATTTTTTGGGACAAAATTCTAAACAACAAAGTATGAGAAGTGAAAGGATTGTAATATTAATTAGTATTCTGATTTAACGTGTGAGTTTAAACGATTTCATTCATTCACACGATGATCGTGTCGTGAAATTGTAACGAGGAATTCTGCAACCGCGCGGTTCGATAAATAAGGAGTAGAGCGAATTCCAGGTTGCGGATTTCTCATACGCGCTCGAAAGAAAAAAGAGATATACACGCGGCGGTCTGACCTAAGCCTGCCTACTTTAAACCCAAAGCAAGCATTCTAGAACAGCTCGCCTACCCGACGCGTGCACGCGAAAACCTAACATATATTAACAAACACAATCATGTAATCTTTTATCTTTAATTTACTCATTCCAAGTTTTAAGAAAAATCTACTCACCGATCGTTGACGGAGTAATTCGTAGCTTTCACACAGGCTGCCAGACTCCTTTGGAAAACTAATAGGAAAAAAATAAATCAGGATTAGTTTCGAAAATGAATTTTCTTTAACTTTCAATGATTCGTTTGACAATTCTTTGAATTAAAATAAAAGACGAAACTCCGTGCTTTGATTTTGCATGCATTCAAGTAGGTTCGTTGTTTCCTTTTTTGGCTATTGAAATTGCGTTCTTTGTGCGTTCAACGTCGCCTTTTGTGTACCGAGACTCTAATACCGCGTATCGATCAAAAGAGCGGAAAGAAAAAAAGCCGTGTACGGCTAAAGCAAAAAGTCACTGTATCGATAGAAAGTAGCACAAAGACTCTACACTGTAATTTAGCTAGAAAATTTCAAAAAGGTTCGCGCATATAGAAGACATAATTATTATTATTTTTAAAAAGGAAGATGATTACAATATAAAACAAATATGTACAAATTTTAAGTAAAACATTGATAAAATTCATTCATTCATAAAATGAGAATAAATATTAGAATGCATTATTAAATATAAATAAGTAATAAAATGTTAGGTTTAATTTCTCGTTTATAAAATCAAGTGTCTTAGAAAAACAACACTACAAAGTTTGTACAGAGACTAACACGTCCCTGTAGGGTCGTTTACTCCTTTTCTTCTTATCAGTATCTACTCTATAGTATCAGTCTATAACCCGAGTTTCCCCCGAGATTAAGTTTTCTCAAACTGTTTTTCCAGTGACGATCAGCGGTTCGCCGTTCAAGGGTTTTTTCATTCAGGCACGTGACCAAGAGACGAACAGCTGGATCGGTTCCTGGGCGCAGACCGATAACACGAATACCCACCCCGAGTGCAGTGCCGTGACACACGCCGATCCTGAAGTGAAACAACAGGCCACCCTTATCTGGAATGCACCGCCGAACGCGCACGGTCGCGTGTACTTCACGTGAGTGCCAATTTTTCTCAACCTGCACGAGCACGAGATAAACGCATCGCGAGAAACTCGAGAGAGCCGGGATTTCACAGACCCTAAAAATCGAAACGTGCTGACATAATTTTGCGATTAATCGATTAAGCCAGTATTGAAATTTGATTAATTCGAACGATGTGGGCTCGTAATGGAATTGACGTAAATTGTGTACGTTGTCAAGTTTAATAAGAGATAGAATAGATAAATGTATTATATATACAGGGCAGTAAATTTAATTTATGCTAATCGAGACCACTTTGGCGAACGGGTGTTCCCAGAAGAATTGCGATCTGTCGGCTTGCGTCACTCTTATCGTGAACGAGCGATAACGTTTATTACGGTCGTCGCGCGTTACTAGAAAATAGTCGATTATTAAATGTAAAACGGAATCACGAAGTTGGGGGAATAATTAAAGGCAAGCCATGACTGAAATGCCAATTATTCGCCGCACCCTCTAAAGAATAATAACATACTATACTGGACGTGGTCGGTGTACGGAAGAAGAAACATCCTTCAAATTAGGAGTGACTGTCTGTCGGGCGTAGTAGTCGAAGACGTGTTTAGCCACGTCGTTCATCAATTAGTTGAATTAGTAGGCAGATAATCGAGTTCGCACGACCCACTCATTAATACTAACTTCAATCATTTAAAGAAATAATTTTTACATAATAAAGTAAAAACA